CCTCTTTATTTTGGGCTTCTTTCATCGATATAATTTTACATAGTAGTGTAGTTGGATCTGCCCAATGTACTTGTCTTTCCCGTGTTCGTTTAACATTGCACGGATACCGTTTGATAATCCGGTTTGTCCATCTGTTGCCTCTCATTTCTGCCACATAAGCAGCCCAGATTTTCTTCCTGGCCTACATTGTTTGAGTAAAATTGCCTGCCGTTTTGAACCGTACTATTCACTAAATATAACTCAAGTTTTAATAAATCCAGTACATTTTGGTGCGTACCAATGAAGGGAAAGCAGTACATCCCCTCCTTATGTGGCTCAAAATATACAGGAACTCACAGCTGCTCTTGAAAAACAAGTGAAAGCCCTAACAGTAATCCCAGTGGCGGCATTTTGCTACTAACAGTCACGTGCTCTAGCAAAGCTATTATCAGTGCTTTTTACAGAAGATCATTTAACGGTCAGTTGATGATAATACACTGCGGTAGACCAAATAATTTGAAATTATATCCCAGTTTCCTATATAGATTTATTTCGTTTTTATGCATTTTATAGGCAAATGCGAAAACGCATACTGTGACGACCCCGGTGTGTGTGTGCGTGTGTATGTGCGTCTGTCCGGGTATTTCAACTCGGCACCCAAGCAATCTCCGGCACCAAAATTTTGCAGGCGGATTCCCCGGCCAGGTGGCACCACAGGACCACGGTACCAACCCTCATGCAACTCTGGGCCCCGTGTACGAGGAGGTGAAAGTTTTGGCGGGAAAATCGCTAACTCGGGAACCAGAAAAGCTGGAAAGCTGAAATTTTGTGGTTTTGTTCCTCGTGCACATAGAACTCAAAAATTTCAAATTTGGCTCCCAGGTGTGCGTGGTTTCCGCCGTGAGGGTTCCTGGTGCGAAAATCGCTAACTCAGGAATCAGGAAAGCTGGGGAGCTGAAATCTTCACGGCATTTTCCCAGCACAAGTACAACTTATAGTTATCAAACTCAGCCCTTCAGCTTGTGTGGTACTCACGTACGGAACCATAAAATTTTTTGGCGCGAAAATGGCTAACTCGGGATCCAGGAAAGTTGGGAGGCTGAAATTTTCAGAAAATGTTCCTAACCCAAGTTCAACTTAAATTTTTCAAATTCAGCCCCTCAGCGTGAGTGGTAATCACATACGGCCCCTGAAAAGTTTTTTGGCGCGAAAATGGCTAACTCAGGAACCAGGAAAGCTGGGGAGCTGAAATTTCCAGGGAATGTTCCCGGCCCATGTACGACTTAAATTTATCAAACTCAGCTCTTGGACGTACGTGGTGTCACGTACGGCCTCGTGAAAATTTTTGGCAGGGAAATTACTAACTCAAGAACCAGAAAATTTGAAAAACTGAAATTTCAATGAATTGTTTCCCCCCACACTTCCCGGATTTCGGGGACCAGTATATTACTCATTTCTAGCTATTGGGTTCCGAGCGGTCTCATTGCAGCATGAAATGTTGCAAAAACGCATGATCGCACGGGCCCGCCCAGTGCGCGTCGCCAGTGATTTTTATCAGCAGCATAACCGCTTGCTGAGTATGTCCGGCTGTAGTACTGAATAGAAATGTCTACAGCTTAGTGGACACACTCAGCTTTTATGCGTTTTGTGCTTCAGCGGTAGCACAAAACACATATTATCAATATCTTCTCTCTGTGTATGTGCTTGTCTGTATGTGTTGTGTTGGTGTGTGTGTGTGTGTGTGCGTATGTGTTTTGACTACGTTTTATGCGGGGTTTTCAACTCGAGAACCAGAGAAACTAGGGAACTCAAATTTTAACCCACTACCCGCGTGTGATCTTGCAGACTCAAATTCCGCACTTGCGCGGGTCCAAGTTTCACACAGGGCACGCGATAGCTTTGTCACTCAAATTAACTCTGAAAACACGAAGGCAAGGAAACTGAAATTTTAGGACATTGTGCCCTGCTTGTTTAGGATCCCGCAAACTCAAATTCAGCCCCACACATATGGGTCTCAGGTATGGACGCGTTAAAGTTTCGGTGCCAAAACCAATAGTTCAGAAATCACAAAAGCTACGAAGCTGAAATTTTAGAAAGATTTTCTCTGCAGGCGTACTGCCCATTAAATTTAAATTCGATCCTTATGTACGTCCCAGTTTCACGTGACGGCATGTGAAAATTTTAGCGCGAAAACTACCTCGGAAACTGGAAAAGTTTGGGGCCTGAAATTCCAGAAGAATGCTCCCTGCCTGGTTATAAATTCAGTCCCCGCCCACGCCTGGGTCTCACTTATGGACACGTGAAAGCCTTAGCGCCGAATTTAATAATTCTTGAACCACGAAAACTTCTACATATATCAAACTGTAAAGCAGTGAACAATTCTAACAACAAGGCTCCCTAGACAAAACTGCACAAGCGTGCACTGAAGGGGGTTGCACAAGCGTCCACCAGACAGAGTTCGCTGAACAAAACTGCACAAAACTACGATCGCACCAGCTACCCTGATATGTACCAGTATTTATTTAATTCAGTTTAATGTCAAGACTAGTGTAGCTACTATCAAGACCACTCGAGCATCATGGATATCCCACGTTTTTATGCGTTTTTTGCAGCTACGCAATGCAAAGACGCATACGGACGAGGGGTTGTTTGTGTGTCCCTGTTTCTATGTGTCTGTGCGTCTGTGTGTCTGTGTGTTTGTGTGTGTGCATCTGTCACGCACTTTTATCTCGAGGCCTATAAAAGCTGCGGGGCTGAAATTCCGGGAACTTAATTTACATGCACGCTCTGGCCTCAGCCTCCAAAATTGGTGCCGTCAGCCGCGTGGTACCCGAGTGCGGCCCCGCCAAAGTTTTTTTCGGGTAAGTTCATAACTCGGGGATCTAAGTAGCTAGAACGCTGAAATCTCAGACGGATGTTCCTCGTCCAACTGGGCGTTAATGCAGTGAAACCCATCCCCCGGGTAAAGG